TCTCACGGCTTTATTATGCACATTTCCAGCAATTTGTAAACATTGTTGCATTTGTGATTGGAAGTGCTTGAAATAACTTTATATGAAGTTTTTCAGAAATTCAAGTTTTTTTGTAAAAAGAGGTTTAAATTTTGCTTTTACAGTAGCACTTAGACGCCATTTTCTTAAAATCGGCTCAATATTTTTGGAAGAAAATTCCAATTTGGGGCGATGTTTTATCGTTCTTTAATATGTTTAAAATATTATTTCCATTCTACTATTAGGAAACCTAAAAATTACGAAAATTTCAAAAACTGTTTTGGGCAACGATAGATGGCAACTGACAAGAGTATGTGGTAAGTCCGAGTAGCTTACCCAGTTCAAAGGAAATAAAAAAACTAATATGGGAAAGTCTGAGCCAATCTGTAGCATCGCTAGTTATAATTTATTTAAAAAATTAAATTGTATATCTAGCATAAAAATTATTACATAACTATAACTAAAGGCAAGAAAGTATGTGCACTTTTAGCACCGCTAGGGTTTTTGTAAGATCAGATGCAAATTGATTATTTTAACTTCTGAGGATGACATATTTATTGAAACAATTTCAATCATGCCCAATTACCAAAACTGTTGAAATTCTGTTGCCAAATTTTGATATTTGGATATATTTTTGATAATTATAGTATTGATAAATGATAACGATTAATGAATGTTTATGATGAATATTTAACAAAAATAATAATTAACAAAATTATTATATTAGTAATATCAATAATAATATTAATATTAATATTGTGTATCATTATATTAAGAATTTGTGTTACATAAATACAGTAGATATAAATATCATTTATCAAGAAAGCCAAATATACAAGAAATTCGGAAAATTTAGGATTCCCTTTGCCTCTAATTTTAACATATCACTGCTTCGAACAATCAGATTAGATCGAGGCATAAAGGGGTTTCCAAGGTCGAAATCAAATAACGCTGCGAAACACGCACCAAGTTGATTGGTTGCTGCGTGATTGGGCATTCCCCTCGGCCTCTACCAATTTGCAGTCAATTCATTTCGTCGCCCGCCAAATTCTGTTGCGCGCATCGATCGTCGTAATTAGTCGTCGGAGGAGAAGGTGCGCGGCGATTAGATCGCAGCGAGCTGGTTGCCCTAATTTGTTCTCTTCCGCTCGAGGCTCTAGATAAACTTCTCAACATTTCCAATCGCGTCCGTACACCTGCTGCCACTTTTAGAACAACTGCTTCATTCTGTGATGTTCTGTTCTATTTTTTCCTTTAATGAATCAAAGTCACTAATAAACTAGTGGTGCTACAGAATGGCACACACTTTCCCGTATTAGTTTTCTATTTCCTTTGGTCTCGGCTAGCTATTCGGCTTTGCTACATACTGTTGCCAGCTGCCGTCTATCGCCGCCCAAAGTACATTTTTTGGACATTTTCTTAATTTTTCGGGTCCTAAATGGCAATTTTCATAGAAAAAATTGGAGCCATTGAAAAACCGTCGTTTAAACGTTACTGTAAATTCAAAATTACAAGCTCTTTTTCACAGTTTTCGTGAAACTTCAAGTTATTTTAAGTACTTTAATTCACAAATACAGTAGTGTTTACGAATTGCTGGAAATGTCTATATCAACGACTTGAGAGATCATTCAAAAAATTTACGTTTACAGTTCGTACATGTCTCTGAACCTTCTTGCTCACATGTACCAGTCATTAAAATATTATGTGTACTCCCGAATCCTCAAATTCCTCCAATACTTATATTATCCGTCGACAATTAAAAACACCCAGATTCTCATTATGCTTCAACATATACTCGGTCTTATATTGCATAGAAAATTTTTGTCATCCACCAGACTATGAACCATTCTCAGTAAGACGTTTACTCTCGATATTGTCCGTCACCATGATGTCCGACCTTTGCCAACTTATAACTCCAGTCCAAGTGGGCCGTTCACACGAAATGTCTTCTTGGTGTTAAAGGTCTCTGACCTCTTGACTCGTTACACATCCACACATGTCTTGACGACATAGTCACATATGTTGATCAAAAGGGGATTGCTGGCGAAGTAGAAAAATTTGTACATGCGAATTGGTGCAGTTAGTTAATAGAAATAACTCATTGTAGATATATATCCATATTGAAACGTTCACGATAATTGTAGTAGGAATTTAGAGCGTTATGACATCAGCAGTCAATTGCGTTCTCGTCAAATTGCTTTACAATCTTCTCTTGGAGAACATAAAATTGCTCGGCTAAAATCTCTTAAAAATGGAGTGAAAAAAATGAAAAATCAAATGTCGCCTAGGGATACTAATTTTAATTTTAATATTTCCTTTTGAAAAAATATTACAAGTTACAAACACCAAGATATTCTAACACTATTCCTTTTATTTATAACTGTAGCACATGTTTGTTTCCAATTCCAGAACAGGGTTTAATCTTTTTATTATATTAGGTGTCTCGTATAGATGAGATGATTTGTAAGGATCTACAGGTCGTTTTTCTGCTGTTTACTTATTTTAACATTCTTGGCATGTCGGAGAATAACAAACAAGCATCGACACATTTCCATGTGTTTCACATACACGCACAAACATACACGCTCCATATCGAAGATGATGGGAAGCAATCCTTGGAGCTTACGTTGGGACTTCCAGACAGTGTTTCTGATTATAACTATCTAAAGAACTCCTTAGAAGAACTTTCATAAAACCACCACTATGCAAAGGGAAAAACAGTTCCATTTATGACAAAAATGGCACTTTTAGGAAGAATTGATAAGAAAGTATGTGTCCATTGTTTGCAGCGCCATCACTGTATGCGGGCTTTGTTGGCAGCGCTCATCGACTGATATGTGTTGATATAGATAGAAAAGCAGTATAAAATTATTACATAATCGTTATTAAGGGGCGGGAAAATATGTGCTGTTTGAGCACCACTAGTTCTGTACGAAGGATGCACAAAAAATGAATTCTGGCTACATCACGTGTTAAAGGAATTTTTTTCTATATTTAGCAACTGGATTTATCCACTTTTTCCTCAGAAGAGTTTTTGGTGTCAAAAATTCGCCGTTTTCCAGCGCACGATTACAATATTTTCTATTCTTTCTTTAGTAAGTAAAAATAATGAAACTTTGTCATTTGCATTAACAGAATTTCATGGCTTTCTCCGTACGATTTACACACGCATAATTTCTAATCGATGTTCAATTTAGACGAAATAAACATAACTAGAGTCAATTCCTACCCGATCGGTGTATGTAAACTGCAAACTGCAATGTTTGCACGAGAATACTCATTTTAGTTTGCAGTATACGGATAGCAGATATAAAATATTAGTCATTTTAATATGAAAACCAAGATTTAAAAATGTGTTTACTTTAGCGAATATCAAATGGCTAAATTTTTCGTTAAGATGTCTACCACACTTGATGCGTGTGAATTCATAATTGATTCAAAATCCTAATTCTAGCCATGCAGCCATCCAAAGTCTTTGGCCAATCGTCATTAACCTAAAGCTAAAGGCTCTGAAACATGTTTCTTAATCTACCGCGTGATATCGTAGTACGAACGTAGTAGCAATCCTCTATCGAGAGTAGCGCAATCTGTGTGGCAGCTGCCATTTCATATCCTCCCAACCAGTAGTCCCATCAGACAGCATTCACGATTCGAGGACAAGTGATTACAACCGAAGCCATTATAGAGAGTTTCGAATATATTATTGCGGTTTTGAGTAACCACAGTACGGTCCACTCTACTGGATATAAAATGGCGGAATCGACACCGCGAGTGTACAGCTGCTCTCGGCATCTAGGAAGCCCTGCTCACCTGCGTCCAGACGGGTGCGGCAGCTCCGGTTCGAACTGCGGCAGGTTCTATGAGAGGGGAGCGCTTGGGCGCTTTCCGCTCGAAGCCATTTCCCTTGCATCCGCCCCTTCCTCCACATAACGACTATATTCCTGGGCTCAGGATCGAGGGGCTCGATGGTGCACCATCAGCTGTAGACGTTTTTCGTCAGATTGCCTACTGCCTTAACCGGAGATTACAAAGGCGTCGTCCGTCAGACGACGCACCTTGTGCCGAAACCCTCATTCACCATTTCTCAAACTCTGTCTAACGTCTTTACGTGGCTAGCCAGTGAAATACACCTATCGTTCTTCCCGCGCTTATTCTAGGTACATGTCATTTTAACACGCGTCTTCCAGTACACTATGTCTTTATAGTTACATCATAGATATTTTTGGTGCCATATTGGCTAATATTGTAATTAATGAATGCAAACTTCTTGTCTTGTAGCATTTGTAAGTTTTGTTCTGAATATTAAGTATTCATAATGAGACGATGGCAATCATTGGTAGCTTTACGAGGAACTTCTGCGGACGCTTCTCAAAAGCCATGTGACGTCAGCACCAATCAAGTATCTGCTGTGAGAGTAAAGTCATTTAAGTCTGTCTATAAAAACCTTTAATAGTAGTTTATGCAATTAGTTTATAATGTTAAGCTTTATTGCAAGAGTAAATGTCTTGAAATCGAGCGATTTTAGGAACGAGTTTTCAAATTTGTACGAATGTAATAAAGCAAAATTATAAACGAGTTGCATACTGTATTTTTTTGTATAACAGCATTATACATTTATAACAGAATCGAGCTTAATTTTGCAAAACAACTTCCCTGTGACGACTCGCGTATTTGACATTGGTGGTCGGCTGTTCCGTTTAGCCCTACCTCCCCCCGATTCTCTCGCTCCGATTGGGTGAATGTGAGATGACGCGATCATTCGTGACATAAAATCTAATATGTCATCATTTACGATGCCCGATTTCTTGCAACAGAAAAGGTTCTTTTATAATGCTGGAATACAAAAAAAATGTATTTCGTAACTCCACATGCTCCACTACAAATGGATGTTTCACTGTAAAAAAACGAGTTTTTCTTTGATTCACCCAAAGAGTCTCCTTGCGTGGCCGCGGCCACCTGGGCTGAGCGGAAGCGCTGCGTACCTTGAAGGCGCCCACGACGCGCGAGGAGTCGGACTCGGGGTCCGAGTCGGAGTCGCCGGCGCGCTTCCCGCGGTACAGCTCGAAGGTATGCAGCCACTCGCGGAAGCCCCCGAACTCGGGCTGCGCCTCCAGCTCGCTCGGGTACACCTGCAACACGCCCGGCTGCTGGCAACGGAACATAACCTCAAGTATTCACATACGCGATAGACTCAAGTATTCACAATGCCTGACATAAACGAAAGTAAAATAAGAGTTTCTATTGGCTGTGAGACTTTCTGGTTGGATGTGAGAATCGATTTCAATACATCGATATGCCCCATATGTCGTAGTTTTTATATCGACTTCTCTCCAATTTCGATTCTCGATTTTGGGTTACCGTTCTGTGCTTGGTTCATTTCTTATGTCTTTCTTAAACATAAGCACAGAAGCTTGCAACGCCTTACGTGTTATGCTTATGTGAATGCATTGTGAATGTGTCCGCTTATGGACATTGTCCCTACTTTTATGTTAACGCCATGCTTATGTTTATGCTTGCAATGTGAATGAGCCTTTAGCCTCACACTTACACCTGGGTTGATTGAATATTTCGTGTTTCCAAGCGCGTCAACTAGGGTCGTTAGTCCTGTAAGTGTAGGTTATGTTTCATCACGGGAGGTGGCGGTGTTCTTTCCTAGACAGATGGTGAAATCCGGCGCCGACCTACACGTCGGCTTCCGGGCTTTTCCCGCAACCAGGTATCTCCCACCAGCGTTCTCTGCCCCAGCCGGTCACGAGTGGTCTCCCGATATGTGTGGTAATGTGGAAGGAAAGATCGCGCGCTGTACGAGGGCCGTTTGTCAGGGTTCTGTCCCTATATTCGCTCGCTATTGTTCGAAGAAACCGTGCTAAACTATCACCATAGACGACCGCTAGAGAATGGCTGAATTGGACCCATCTATGTGGCTAGCGTCGAAAATCCTCCACTGCAGTAAATTGAACTCTAGGTTAACTATTCTGGAGTGACAATGGCGTTGTCGCTAACTATCGCAACAGGAGTGAATTATTTTTGCGGATTGCTCACTGTGATGATAATGAACGCATGTTGATGGAACAAAGCTGAAATGAGAGCTACACGAAACGGGAGAACCCCGAAAAGCTGCCGCAAATTCGCTTCAAGCACCACAAAATTCCACAAGGATGGAGAAGAATTTTTACCGCGATATTCAGAGATGGATAGTCAGCAGTCTGATCACTTCATTCGTTGCATTCAAGGCAAGGCAATTTCTCTTCTTTATAAAGTGAAAGATGCGGACTAAGGAGCTGTTTTTACCCAACCGATTGTTTTCCAATCCGTTAGTCACGCATTATCCAGAGCAACGAAGAACGGGAGTTAGAAAGTACTGTTTATAAATCTATCAATGTCAATAGGTCAACCACTCTATTTGAAATTTAATGGAAATTGCCGTTAAATGTAGAGTAGTTGGGCCCCGAAACTTTTACACTTTGTAAATAGACGTTGTGGGACCATCGATTTTACTTTTTTAGTAGAGAGTCATCAAAATCAACCTTGGATTTAAAATCAGGACGGTGATGATTGCTAGGCGAATTTTGTAAAATGAGTACAAGCAAAACTAGCAGTGCTCATATTTTACTCATTGTATTAACTATTCAATCAATTATAATCACAATAAATGTTTGATTAGATTATTATCACAATGAAAATGTGATCAGATTGAATTATTATCACAATGAAAATGTGATCAAATTGAATTATTATCACAATGAAAATGTGATCAAATTGAATTATTATCACAATGAAAATGTGATCAAACTGAATTATTATCACAATGAAAATGTGATCAGATTGAATATTATCACAATGATCGTTTGATGAGATTTCAACTCTGCATTCAATAGCTATCGCTTTCATACACTGCGAGATTTATAACGATACAATAACGACGTAACGAAAGGACCCTGACTAAATACTTCACAACCATTCGTTATTGCACCAACAGAAGAAAACAAATGATCAGTGCCAATTCGGTGACCGAAATCGCTAAGGCAGTAGTGCCGTAGTGATGTTGGACCGAAGGACCACGGGTTCGAGTCCCGCTTCGGGCATGGTTGTGTTGTGCACCCCCTATCATCATCTTGTCGAGTCATCCTCACAGTTACCATCCCGTTACAAGCAACAGTGGTCGCTAATGACCTAGAAATTGATGCGACCTTAAATAACAAACAAAAAAAAAGTCAGTAGCTGCAGAACTGGTCATCAGCAATGGACAGCAAAAATAGAAGCATGTGATCAGAACACTCGTTCCCCCACTTCTCACTACCGGTGTTGAAATTCGGGTACGCCCATGTGGAATTTTAATTAACAATGTTCGTGGCAGCTTGATTTAATCGGAGTTCTCCGCGTTCTTCTCCTTTCTTTCCACCCTTGCGTCATTAGCATATATCATAACTTCACCTGTGGCAAATAAGTTTACATTTCACTTGTATTCACTAATCCATATTTGCCCCCACATATTTGCCAAGATTCTAGAATAATTATGACAAAGAAAATTCAAATTTCACTTACAGAATTAAGAAGAAAATAAACATTTGGAATCTGCTTTTTGTAAGTAAATATTTACAGTGGCATCCATTTACAGAGGTTAATAATGAGGTTCTAAGGTTTTGCGAAGCAAATCAATTCGATTCACCATCTACTTCTTTCTTCCTCCCCTCTCAAAGTAAAATTTTATATCCTCGAATATTGAGGCATAAATAATTTTGTGTCATGAATTGTTTGTACTTTTAGTTTTTGAGCATTGGCAAAGAATACATTCTTATGGTGTAGAATGTGAAGACCAGTTTTGGAATCATTTTAGTAAATGGAAACCAAATCCAGAATATTCTGCAAATATGGTATATTTGAAAATTCTCTTGCTCTTAGAAATGTATAAAACAAGAACTTTTATTACTAATCATTCTACGGAGATGCCATCTGTGTAATAGTTTGTTTTAAAGCTGCAATATTTTCGAAAGTAAACCAATTACATTTAATATAATTGTATCATGGTTTTATTACGACCAATCTAGGGAGCAGAAAGAAAACTTTTTTAGCTTCTAACATACTACTGTAACAAACGAAACTCATTATCTGTTCAAATTAAAGCATTGTGCTACTCCTATTTTTGGACGCTACTACTTAGAGTGCGATATTAAAACAATGAAGAAAGTTTGCACTCTGCTCTGCCCTGCAGTTTGTGGAACTACAACGTTGCACAGAGGAGAGCAAAACAGTTTACAATTGCTTTCCATATTAAGCTAGAAAAGACGACCTTTCCATGTGGAAAGAGAACAGAAGACATGAGCATGAGTAAAAGTCATAGTATTTTCGTCAGATGTGACAAAACAAGTTTAACTAAATAAGCTAAGCTAAGAAAAAAGGACGTTTCATTTAATTATTTTAATGTTAAAGTTTCTCAACAGACATACCTTTACATTAAATAAAACTATTCCACCTTCTCACAGAATAATTGAAGATTATAAAACAATGCATCTAATCATTTTCTATTTCCAATATTTCTTTCGTTGTTTTCAAACTTTTATTATTTATCTTTCATTGTTTTTGCTAATTCAAATTGTTGATAATACGAACTTTGTTCGTTAAAAAGACGTTATTATTATTTCGTTATTATTAGGATGCAAAAAATTATTTTGATTGTTTTTGCTAATTCAAAATGTTGATAATACGAACTTTGTTTGTTAAAAAGACGTTATTATTATTATTTCATTATTATTAGGATGCAAACAATTATTTTTATTGTTGTTGCTAATTCAAATTGTTGATAATATGAACTTTGTTCGTTAAAAATACGTTATTATTATTTCGTTATTATTAGGATATACAAAATTATTTTGATTGCTTTTGCTAATGCAAATGGTTGATAATATGAACTTTGTGCGTTAAAAAGACGTTATTATTATTTCGTTATTATTAGGACGCAAAAAATTATTTTGATTGTTTTTGCTAATTCAAATGGTTGATAATATGAACTTTGTTCGTTAAAAAGACGTCATTATTAGGATATAAAAAATATTTTGATTGCTTTTGCTAATTCGAATTGTTGATAACGTGAACTTTGTTCGTTAAAAAGACGTTATTATTAGGATATAAAAAAAATATTTTGATTGCTTTTGCTAATTCGAATAGTTGATAACGTGAACTTTGTTCGTTAAAAAGACGTTATTATTATTTCGTTATTATTAGGATATGTAAACATATTTCGATTGCTTTTGCTAATTCAAATGGTTGATAAAATGAGCTTTGTTCGTTAAAAAGACTCCGCTGCATTGTTAGAAGAGCCGCTGGCCCAGGGCAGGCGAGTGGCCCCTGGGGGGCGCCGCACCTTGAGCAGCGCCGTCCTGCGCTGCGGCGCCTCGCCGGCCGGCCGCCGGCCGCTCTTGGGGCTGAGGCGCGCCACGAACTTGGCGGCGGTGGCGGCGCCGCGCAGCGTCAGCCGCTTGTTGCTGTCCTGCGCGCCCGGCGGCAGCGCCAGCGTGGCCGCGGCGTCGTCGGGCGGCGAGAGCGCGGGCGGCGCGCCGTTGGCCTGCGCGTGCGCCGGGGGCGTCGTCGGCGGCGCCGCCTGGCNNCCCGCCCCCGCCCCCGCCGCCTGCTGCTCCAGCTGCTCCGAGTGCTGCGCCGCCGCCGCCAGCGCCGCCTCCTTCGTCTCCTGCGCAGGCGCACGTTGCACAAACACCTTTCTCTTTGTTAATGCTGCGTCTACATGACGAAATCAAACATCGGAAAATCACTGTGACGGCGAACGTCTGTGAAGGTTAAAACGGAGCTTGAATTCTCGGCTATCCGGGAGACGACGCGTCGTTGGCTGGCATTTCGCAGGCTTCCTCAGGGCAGTGAGTCGTCACTGCCCTGAGGAAGCCTGCGAAATGTCAGGCGAAACGTCGGCACCCCAGCCAACGACGCGGCGTCTCCCGGATAGCCGAGAATTCATGGATTCGAGCCGCGGAAGCTTACGTATACATAAAACGGAGCTTTTTGAACGGTACAGGGAACAAAAGTCGGCTGCAATCTCGATTTCCTGCAGGCACACCACGGTAGAAAGAGACGAGTGGGCTTCTCAGGCACACACATATTCGCTCGTACTGCGCAGCACCGGTTTCCGTCACGAACAACGTGATCAGAACTCGGGCTCTTCATTTGAAAAGCCAGACCAGTCGTTGGCCGCCATATTGTACGGACTGCGTTTAAAACTCCCGTAAATATTGTGACGCAAAATGGTGCCTGAAGCGCGTTGGCTGAAGTCGAATACAATAGCATACCCATCTCTGTCCATCATGACGAAATGAAACATAGAAATGAAAAATCACTTTAGGGGTGAGAGTTTGTAAACGTTAATAGAGTGTTTTTGCACGGCATAGCGTGGAACAATTGACAGCGTTGTCGGTCTTCTGTGCATGTGCAGATGCACAAAACTGATGCGAAACTCGAACAACGCATGTGCAGAACATCGATAGTACTGTCAGAATATTTAACGCTTCGCCGTCCAAAAACTCTCTATTAACGTTATTAAGCAGCTATTAAGCCGACAACGGGCGGCCTTTGTGGAATCGACCGTGTGTTGTTCTTTTTTATAATTTGACTTTTCTATAAGGAAAAAGCACAACATAGAAGTAAGAGCTGTTTATGCTTCAAGAACGTTAAACGTTGGTTGGAACGATAGAGCGGCAACAACAATCGCTCGATCTTTAGAACCCCTTTAGCAACCCTTATAGCTCTTGATGCATAAGTAGCTATTTATTTATAATTTTTCTTGTAGATTACAAATAATGTTTTTCGTTTCATGATCGATCACTCAAAAAACGGACTCAGCTGGTAACCAACCTTTGCTATTTCTTCAGTGTACAATCATTAACAGCGTCTGTTATTTACGCTGTATTGGTCTAACAACTTTAATAACTAAATTGAATTTATTTTGAAAGTAGTCTAGCGAAATTGTTGAAGTACATTATAAAAAGAGAACATAAACTAAAAAGACTACAACAACGTGCAGCAATCAGCTAACCGACGATTTAAATCGTCTCTTTAAATTTATCGGCTTCAATCATTCCATTCCGTGCATCCTCTAATTGAAGATTACTCGAGTTTCATTAGATCTTGGCCTTGAAAGCCTCCCAATGACAAATTCTATTGCTAAATCTGGGAAGTAATTTCATGGATATCCTTGGAGCTAACAAAACGGAACTCAAGGATTTGCAACAGCGCGTGTTGTAAGTGAGGTATTATCGATCAGTTCAACTATCAGATGCTGCGTCAACAGTAAATTAAGAACGACCAGCAAATGAAGATGGAAATCAAGTCATTCATATTGATAGGGTGGCTAATGTTCCGGTTTTTGTATTAACATTATAAGAGAGGTATGCAAATAATTAAATTTCATAGAATTATTATCTACGGGCACAAAATTTCTCTAACAGAATTTTATTTTGTCATTCAAAATGCGTAGAATCGAGAAATTCTAAAACCAATAGGTAAAATACTACTACCTAATAAAAAACCTACATATGCAATTTAGTGTTATATTCTGAAATACATTATTGTGAAAATATAAAAAAAATATATGTAAAAATGTTATAAAAATAAGTGACTTTAAATCACGAAGTAGAATAGGACTCAAGCTCAGATACGATTGACCACCAATTCATCATCCACAAAATCCTTTTAAACAGACCCCATAATAACTATAATAATAAAATAAACTAATAAAAGAGCTGATTAAGTGGAGAAGAAAACCAAACGCCGAAATTATCGAAGGGTCTGCGTTATTTATTTAGTAATTTTGCATTCATTTATCAATGATAAACTTTACAAATGTTTTGAAATATGCATTACTTTTTGATAATATATATTTCAATTTTTACTCATTATACTTAATTATATTCAGTATTTTAGAAAAGTAATAAGTCTATCATAACCCAAAGGAGACCCGAATAAAATAACGGAAGAGTTGAAGAGAACAGAAATATTTAGGTTTTTTAACACACGTTAACAGACGTCAAATTTGTTAAGCACTTGAAGATTTGATGTTAGTTTTTATATCAGCTTTTAAAAGAGTCACGTCACGTCATAAAAGAAACAAAACCGTAAATTATTGAATCACCTCACACCTCTATTTGTTACAAAACATGTCGCGCCTATTGCCGGATTAAGTAAAACTATTATGATTAAAGTGTGAAGCACGATGTTCATGAAACATTTGAAATGCTTTTGTAATGGTTGTTTGAAAAAAAATTGAAATTGGTAAATAACTTGTTGATTCTACAGTTTCTATTCAAACTTATTAATTCATTATAAAACAAAAATGTGTGTTGCCGATCCGGATGGCCGAGATCGCGAAGGCAGTAGATCCGTTGCAATCTCGGATCGAAGGATCGCGGTTTCGAGTCCCGCCTCGGGCATTATTGTACTGCGTTCCTCCTTTCACCCCCTATCATCATATCGTGTCATCCTCATAGTTACCATACCGTTACAAGTAATAGTGGTCGCTAATGACCTAGATGTTGATGCAACCTTAAATAAAAAAAAATAAAAAAAAGAAAACAAAGAAAAAAGAAATCGTTTTCATTGTGAAACAAAAGCGCGTGTTATTTCGCAGTTGCGGGGCCGCTGAGTGGGGTCGAGGCGCACCTGGATGCTGGCCTCGACGGAGGCGAAGTACTTGGTCCACCAGTCGCGCGTGCCGTCGTCGTCGTCGCCGCCGCCGCCGCCGCCAGGGGCGCGCTCGCGGTCCGCGCCGCGCTTGCGCCGCCGGTTCGCCTCCGTCTTCTGCTCCTTCTTGCTCTGTGCCGGCGCCTGCGTGCCCTGCGCCACACGCGTTTCGACATCGCATGCGCACCCGATTGTGGAGGGAATCTTTTTTTGTTTGTTTGTTTTTTTGTTTCGACAGACAGCGGTGCTCCCCGGATAGAAGGTGGGATCCGCCGCCGATCTTTACGTTGCAATGCTGGAGAATTCCCCATCCAGGTATCTCCCCCAGCCGGGCACCGCCACAGATGGGATGAACTCTAAGCTCCCGACATGTCAAGAGTGTAAGAGAAAGAGTTATTGAGGTTCTAAGCACGAAAAGCACAGGGGTCAAAGCACGTGCTTAGACTACTTACACATTGACTCCGGCAAGATTCCTTCGGGCGATCCTTGGCGACAGACAACTTGATCTCCCTAATAATTACACTGAAGAGCCAAAAAAATTGGTACAGCTATGCGTATTGAAATAAAGAGATTTGGAAATAATCAGAATACGGCGCTTTGGTCGGCATCGATTATAAAAGACAAGTAGAGACCGGCACAGTTATTAGATCGGTTACTGCTGCTACAATGGCAGGTTATTATGATTTAAGTGAGTTTGAACTTGGTGTTATAGTCGGTGCAAGAGAGATAGGCATAGCATCTCCGACGTCGCGATAAAATTTAGATTGTTCCGTACAACCATTTTACGACTGTACCGCAAATATCGGGAATCGGGTTAAACACCAAACCTCCGGCATAGCTGTTGCCTCGAAAAGATCGTGCAAGAACGGGACTGACGACGACTGAGGAGAATCATTACACGTGACAGAAGTGCAACCCTTCTGCAAATTCCTGCACTTTTCAATGATGGATCGTCAAAAAGACCGTTATCGATATGCAAGCCATTCAACCAAACGTTATCGATATGGTGTTTTGGAGCCGTAGAACCACTCGTGTACCCTTCATGACTGCACGACACAAATTTACCCCTCGCCTGGGCCCATCAACATCGACATTGGAATGCCGATGAATAGAAATCTTGTTTCGAGCGGATGGACGTGTGCGTGTATGGCGACAACCTCATGAATCCATGGACCCTGCATGTCAACAGGAGACTGTTCAAGCTGGTGGAGGCTCTGTGATAGTATGGGGTATGTGCATTTGGAATGATATGAGACCCCTGACACATCTAGATAGGACTCTGACAGGGTACGTAAGCATCCTGTCTGATCACCTGCACCGAGTCATGTCCTTTGCGCAACTCGACGGACTTGGTTCATTCCAGCAGCGCAATGCGACAGCCTACAAGTCCAGATTTGCTACAGAGTGGCTCCAGGAACACACTTCCACTGGCCACCAAAATACTCAGACATGAAAATTATTGGGCATATATAGGATGCCTTGCAACGTACTCTTCAGAAGTTCAGAAGAGATCTCCACCAACTTGTACTCTTACGAAATAATAGACAGCTCTGCAGGATTTATGGTCTCAATTACCTACATCATTACTTTAGATATTAATCCATTACACATTGTGTTGCGGCACTTCTGCGTGCTCGCGGGGGCCCTCCACGATATTAGGCAGGTGTAGTTGTGTTTTTGGTTCTTCAATGTGTTTACCCTTAACGTTCATCGCTCCCCCAACGAGGCAACACCCTTGACATTCGCGTGTGGCAAATTGCCTATCGCTCAGGCGTCGCACGTGCTTTTATTGAGTAATACTGTGGCTGTGCTTAGATACGGAGCTGTCACCACCTTCGAAGTTCTGGGAAGAGTAGAGAGGATAAGTGAATCTTTAGGTACGTAATGAGTCGGTAAAAACTCCTACCGCGCTAGATCGGTGAAATTGTGCAGATATGATATACAGTACCGTACGCAGAATCGCCGAACAGAATTAATTACTTTAAGACAACTAACGTATCTGACAACCGATTACCAATGTTTACATTTTCATTTAAAATTGGGATTCGGAAGAAAGGTAGCCGTACTAGCTTTTCGACTCTTTGTTAACTGACGCCCTGCTCGAGCAAATTAACCTCGTATAGACCTCTATTTCTCATGTATGCAATATACGTTCAAACAATTTAATCAGAAAAGTATTAAGCATTTTCTCTACTGTTTGTATAATCTATTTTACATACGCTTTTCTGAAAATTAAAAAAGGTCATTTTAATGTAACCCAATGAAACAAACAATTCTGTAGATGACTGACTGTAATATGGATCATTTGTTTATCCTTAATGCATTTCTAAGAATGGTTTAACCTCAAACACGTGATTGGGGAGTTGATTTTGAGAGGACAGTTTGTGGGTGTACTTACGTAGTGTGGGGACGCGGGCGTGTCCTTGGGCAGCAGTGGAGAGCATTCCCGGGAGTCGATCTCCACGCAGCCGAACCCGCAGCCAGTACCCGGGGTGAGGACGCAGTCCCCAGCTGCAAAAAGGAAGTCACGAGGGCACAGGATTGTTTAGGTTGGAAAACCTACAGGATGCTTCAGAATAAATGTTACAAATTTTCAGGGCATGTAAAGAAGTCATAAATGATTGTGTTTTTTTAAATGAACATACAGTTGCATGTAAAGGAGGTGTGTGTCTATATATATATATATATATATATATATATATATATATATATATATATATATATATATACATATACATGTGGAATTTGCTCCTGATGTTTAGGCACCCTTCTTGCACAGACGTTCGGGAGGTGCATGAAATTGCATTACCTGTGCCAAAACATGATCTGCTAAACACCTGTGTATCCGGATTTGCCGAAAAGCAGGGTCAAAACATCATGTAGAAACGAAAAAATCTGTTATATGCAATTATCCACTATATGTTCATTGTTTAAAAGTGATCATCTTTTTTTCTCTCTAAATGGCCAAGAAAATTGTAACATTTATTCTCAGACACATGAATTATTTCCCTCAAAATATTATCATTATCTACCTTATCAATGGACATTTTATATTTGCAAAGATAAAAAATGTAAAAGCAATCTTTGTTATGATATACATTTCTCTTATGTTGAGAAATAAGTTAATTGGCTTCTTATGTCCAAATAAAAAAAAACTTAAAAGAAGGTTAAAATAAGATTGAATCCTTAAAAGAAGATATTCCATTGATAACTAAACTTATATCCAGAGTTATCGGACTCCACAGTGCCATTTCTACCGTATGTAATAGGATATGTCACCGAATTTCTTTAAAATCGTATAATTATTAATAATTTATCAATTAAACAAATATTTTTTACTTCAATTGTTGTATTTATAGATTTTTCATCAAACTTGCTTTCAATTTTATATTTAGGTTCTTGTTTATTGTGAAACATGAAAATTTTCAATTTTCAAATTTAAAGTCTTAAAACATCTGTGACGAATGGGAATAAAACCATTTTATATTTTACGTGATTTTTTGTATTACAATAATATTACAATGTTTATTACAATAATTGCAATTACTTGAATAATATACTGAGAATTACTATAATATCGTGAGTTAAGATAAAAAAGGCACTTGCATAGTTAACATACAACATATTCCCGAGCTCGCGCAAATGAAATGTTTTACATCTTAAGGAAGAAATAATATGGTATGAGTTCACTCGCAATTTTGTAGCCGGTATGATTACCACCTTGAATAAAGGATAACAAAAAATGTTAAGATTATTCCCTTTTTGGCTATTTTAAGTAATACGCTTGTTTAAAAAGTGTGATACTTCATAAGTAATTTTTGACCTTTTCTCTCAATCTAAGCATGAAAAAAGATTACAAAAGCAATTTCGGAGGATCACAAGATAAGCCGACATTTGCAATTGAAATTAATCGTTCTTATCCAGTCGAATTTCTGGAAAAGATTTTCCTCCCGCAAAAAAGTGGGAATAAAGTCTTGGCTTCATTAAAATGAAAAATAAATCGAACATAAAAATAAAATATAGTAAGAAAAGTTTAACCTGATTAATTGACATTACTCCAGTTTATAGATTTATTCTATATCAACAAGTTCGCAAACGTAATTCTCTGGGTAGCGTGCCTCGGGGTATATGAACATCAAGTGCTGTAAACTAACTTAACAGAATTTCCACGTCAGTAATTGCATTGCTTCTCCCACTTAAGGCCTATACCGTAATCAGAATACCAAATCCCTGAAGCGAGTAACATCGATGTTGACTAAGGCTATACGTAAGATTTAGTTAAACTTCGCTAATTATAGCTTAGCCATTTGTTCGAATTAGCGTAATTTCTCTCTTTGAAGATAATAAATTGATCATGTTGTAGAATATGTAAGAATGATGGAGAGGAAGAAGTCCTGCTGAAAATAAACTAGACACAATTATTAAATACACTTATTTATTATTTTGTATTGTGATAAGCCAGAAACTCCAGGTTTAATTTGAATGGGGGAAAACTGCATCATATGAGTGTAATACGATATGTAGTATGTATTACAATTGCATGCAGGCTTGGGAATCAAAGACTACACGTTAACGCAAAAAAATAAACAAAGGATAGAATTCCATGTTTGTTACGACAACAACGAACATGAATGAGCATGGCAGAGGCTCACCGGAGAGGTAGTTGGCACAGTGGCCGTGTTAATGTACATGTACACATGGAACATGAGTAGGATGGCTCCGAATAAATGTTACAAACTTCTGTGACATGTATGGGTCCGAAAATGATACCTTTTGCCGATGAACATGCGGTGGGAAATCTTATAAAACGAAGTTACAGATGTGACATGTTTGGCACAGACCCTGGTCGTTTATTCTCCGCTCAGGGGCTGCCTACTGGTAAGGACACCATCCGCATTCGTGTTGTCGTGCTGGTCTTGGGGCGAAGGCGGAGGGGCGCGGGCGGGACTCACCGGAGAGGTAGTTGCCGGCGTGGCCGTTGGTGGCGGGGTTCCACATGTACTTGTGGATGGAGGCGATGGTGTGCGTGCCCACCAGCGTGTAGCGGCCGAAGCTGCGGCAGTCGACGGCGCGGATGGTGAGTGGCGGACGGTAGAGCTCCTGCTCGGGCAGCTCCTGCACTCACAACATGACGCGGCGCGCGGCCCGCTCAGCGGCGGACGCCAGCAACACGCCTGCCAACTGTTGCCTTTCTTACAGTGGGGCCTTTCACATGTAAGAATTAAAGTCGTAGAAATGTTCGGCTCAAAGCAAAATTAGCTCTGAAGAGGACCACAATTTTGGGCGAAAAGTCGTAATAAAATTAAAATAAAATAATTTTATAGTTGAGAACGTATATGATGAACTCATTACCTACATAATATAGTATTAACAATGCAGATATTATGTTCTCCTTAGATGTAAAAGTTAATAAATCACACAATATGTTAGAACGTAGAGTTGAACATATTTGAAATGAAATTCGTATCAACTGGTTTTAGAAAACGTGCTCTTCAGATTACAAGTTAAATTATTTATATTTTCATTTAAGAGAAGTATATTTTACATAGTTTTGTACGTAGGGCAGTAAATTTGTTTTGTAAGTGTACCATAAGCAGAATTTGAATAATGAACCAAAAGGTATAACGAAAAATAATTATTAATTTTCGTTCATAGGAATCCACATTACTAAAAGCTTAGCTGAATTAATAATAGACAATTAAAAAGTTCATAATCAAAACACTGATCTCCAAGCCACAGGGGAGGAGATTTAATATTATTACCTTACCGCTTTTTTTTGTAAAACTAGAAATGTTAAAATACCACATACTTTCTCGCATTATTTCTAAATTTACAATGTTAAAAAATTGAGTGATTTCACTGAAAATGAGACCAAGGTCACTTGTTTAACCGTTCCTTCTTTTATCTTCGAAGAAAAAAGAAAACATTTTGAGAGGTTGTTGAGAAAAAATTAAAAATTGTTAAATATTTCGCACAAAATTATACGAAAAATACTAATATTTTCGAAAAATTGAACATTTCCGTATATCAAGTTCTGTATTTAAAGAACAGATTTCATTAGAGAAAAAATCCTTATATTCAATATTTAAGTACTAGCAAGACGATCAAAATAAAATTACACTTTTGCAATTTTCGAAAAATCAAGGATTGAAACGTACATGATATCTGCACCATCCTCTTAAGCGTCCTTTACGATATGCGGGCTAAGTTTAAAAAAAATCTGGAGCCCTTTTTGAGAAAGGTTTGAAAATGTTCTGTGGTTTCATGTCAAGTAGCCTCAAAAATCACAATAACTACTTGAAACTCCCAAATACTCAAGTTTGTTCAATCAATGAAGGAATATCACTTTTAGAGAAAATCGGCTGAACGATTCAGGCGGTAGCATTGACCACAGATGGACAGACAGACGGACAGACTGACAGGTCCCTTTTTGACATCAATCGACTTTTCGGTATCAAGGTTCCACAAAACATAGTTCTGACCACACCCGTGTTTGAGGAAGCAATTTACTTTATATAGGAACACGATTTATCCACTTTTTAGTGTCGAGGGCCCGACAATAAGAGTTTACCTGTCACAAATTCGCCGTTTTCCAACGCGCGATTACAATACATCTTTTTCTACGTTCATAAGGAAGAGAGACTAATAATATACGATATAAAACAACTTTACTTAAATAGACTACAATTTAAACACATTTCGATTTTCAAAAATTCAATAATTTTCTAACTTTGCAAATACCCTAGAATAATTCCAGAAACTTTGCAAAATAAATTGCAAGATAGAATGGCTCAATCCAACGTATGTACCAATAGTGGCGATGGTATAATAAGAAAAAAAATCAATTCTTCTAAACCTGGACCCCGGTACCAGACTATACAACCTTGGAAACTCCAGATACGACCCTACTAGAAGTAAATCACGCCTTCCCAAATATGAATTCAGGCCCCCGTAACAATTATATACACGTAATCCTAATCTCACTCCCCCCTTTTCACTCCCATCCCACCACTGCCCTGAGCATAAAACCCATATAAATGAGATTCCCTCTCACACATAAAATTGGGGTGAGTTGCTTTAATTGCAAGTACCTCGGTGTCGGCATAGGAAATAATGATCAGGAAGAAATGGAAAATGGGGAAAGGATTCTCGACTCCGGGAAACATGAATTAGAAGAAAGCTAGAAAGAAAAACACGAATAATCAGATAAAGAGGTAAGAAGTAAGAACAAGAAAACAAAGAATAGAAACATGATAGATAAATAGTGGAAAATAAAGAGTTAAAATATAAATAAGATAAATGAAATCAGAAACTAGTAAAATAGAGGAGACTAAATGGATCCTCAGGTATGCGCTTGGGAAATAATATTAGAAACTTGTTTTCGCATTCGTACATTTAACATATCACTCGTAACCTTCATTGTTGCTTAACTCATTATTTGCAATAATAACTGCATTCTAGTGATTATTTACATGAGTCAGTAAAGCATATTTCTGAAAATTGATGCTTAACACTCATCCACAATTTAATTTTTTTATTTCTTATTTCTCGCATACTACGTACTTACGTGGTAGAGAGAAATAATTGTAATGCTGCAGCGGATACTGTCGATTTTGCTTCATAAAAAATGATATTGTGAAACCCTGATATCAAAAAGCGTATAAATTTTGTTCCTAGAAGTAGAAAATTACGTTTTCTAACACGTTATTTATTCAGGATACACGTTTTGTGTGTTATTGATACCAAAAAATTGGCTGTCCTTATGTCTGTGTTCAGTTCTCCAGGCCCTGCGAATTAGATACTTTTTTTTTTATTTTAGAGAACCTCACATGAAACGTCAAATTTTTCCACCTTTTCACAAAATTGGTTCCAAATATTTTAATACATTTTTTCCCTTCAAACAGATTAAAAATTGTTAAAACATGTCTCAATGTCGTTAACACTCAGAATTTTTGAAAATTGCAGAAAGTTAACACTGACAACCAACAATATTAAATATGGATATTTTTCCTTAATGCAATCTCTGCTTCCAAATTAGATATTTAAATAATATCATGTCAACATTTTTATAATAAGATCTTTAAATAATATCAGGTCAAAATTTTTAAAGATTAATTTTTTTTTTGTTTTAGCGCAACGTGGGTTGAAACATAGGCAATTAAAATATTTTTATCAAAACTGAACTTACGGAAAATATATTATCTCTTTCGCAGAGAGAAAAGTACATTTATAAAAACGGCGCACGTTGCTTTTTCGTTGAACTCAATGAAAATTCGTGACCTGCGATGATTCAAAATAGTGCGAGAAAGCATGCGCCGTGCTCACCAGCTCCATGCACTTGACGGGCGAGGAGAAGTTGGGGTTGCGGCGCGCGTCGGGGATGACGGCGGAGGTGAGCACGCGGCCGGCGCACTCCACGTCGACGCGCGGCCGCGCCACGGCCAGCAGATGCACGCGCTTGAGGTCGCGCAGCCCCCAGAAGAGCACCTCGACGCGGTAGGTGGCAAGCGTGGGGCGCACGCCGCGCGGCACGGGCAGCACGGCCGCGGCGCCCGCCGCCGCGCCGTCCGGGTGCGCGACACGCAGCCGCCAGCTGCGCCGCCGCCGCCTTCGCGTCCGGCAGGCGCGGCAGCGCGCTCGTCGCCCTGCCGCGGCACTGCCCCACATGGCCCCATACTCAACTCCAAAAGCCGGCTTTTCAGGCACGAATAGATGCACCCGTCTATAGTGTGTCCTCTCCCTACGGCCTGGCGGGGCCTCTTTAAACCGCCTTCGCGTCCGCAGCGCGGCAGCGGCTCGTCGCCCTGCGCGGGCACCTGCCCAACATGGCCCGTACTCATTTCCAAAAGCCGGCCTTTCAGGCACGAATAGATGCACCCCGGTCTATATGTGTCCTCTCCCTACGCTGACCTGGCGGGGCCTTCTTTAAACCGCCTTCGCGTCCGGCAGCGCCTGGCAGTGGCTCGTCGCCCTGCCGCGGCACCTGCCCCCACATGGCCCCCGTACTCATTCTCCCAAAAGCGCGGCTTTTTAGGCACGAAAGGATGCACCCCGTCTATAGTGTGTCCTCTCTCTCCACTGGCCTGGCGGGGCCTAATTTAACCGCCTTCGCGTCCGGCAGCGCCGGTAGCGGCTCGTCGCCCTGCCGCGGCACCTGCCCAACATTGGCCCCGTACTCGTTTCCAAAAGCCGGCTTTTCAGGCACGAATAGATGCCCCCCGTCTATAGTGTGTCCTCTCCCTACGCTGACCTGGCGGGCCTTCTTTAAACCGCCTTCGCGTCCGCAGCGCCGGCAGCGGCTCGTCGCCTTGCCGCGGCACCTGCCCAACATGGCCCCGTACTCATTCCAAAAGCGGCTTTTCAAGCACGAAAGGATGCACCCCGTCATAGTGTGTCCTCTCTCTACGCTGGCCTGGCGGGGCCTGCTTTAAACCGCCTTCGCGTCCGGCAGCGCCGGTAGCGGCTCGTCGCCCTGCCGCGGCACCTGCCCAACATGGCCCCGTACTCATTTCCAAAAAGCCGGCTTTTCAGGCACGAATAGATGCCCCCTTCTATAGTGGTGTCCTCTCTCTACGCATGCCTGGCGGGCCTGCTTTAATGCCGCCTTCGCGTCCGGGGAGCGCGGGCAGCGGCTCGTCGCCCTGCCGCGGCAACCTGCCCCACATGGGCCCGGACTCAACCTCAAAAGCCGCTTTTCTTGGCACGAATAGATGCACCCCGTCTATAGTTGTCCTCTCTCTACGCTGACCTTGGCGGGGCCTGCTTTAGCCGCCTTCGCGTCGGCAGCGCTCGTTGCCCTGCCGCGGCACCTGCCCCACATGGCCCCGTACTCAACTCCAAAAGCCGGCTTTCAGGCACGAAATGATGCACCCCGTCTATAGTGTGTCCTCTCTCTACGCTGGCCTGGCGGGCCTGCTTTAAACCACCTTCGCGACCGGCAGCGGCTCGTCGCCCTACCGCGGCACCTGCCCAACATGGCCCCGTACTCATTTCCAAAAGCCGGCTTTTCAGGCACGAATAGATGCCCCCGTCTATAGTGTGTCCTCTCTCTACGCTGGCCGGCGGGGCCTGCTTTATACCGCCTTCGCGACCCGGCAGCGGCTCGCTCGCCCTGCCGCGGCACCTGCCCAACATGGCCCCGTACTCATTTCCAAAAGCCGGCTTTTCAGGCACGAATAGATGCCCCCGTTATAGTGTGTCCTCTCTCTACGCTGGCCTGGCGGGGCCTGCTTTGAACCGCCTTCGCGGACCGGCAGCGGCTCGTCGCCCTGCCGCGGCACCTGCCCACATGCCCCGTACTCATTTCCAAAAAGCCGGCTTTTCAGGCACGAATAGATGCACCCCGTCTATAGTGTGTCCTCTCTCTACGCTGGCCTGGCGGGGCCTGCTTAAACCGCCTTCGCGACCGGCAGCGGCTCGTCGCCCTGCCGCGGTACCTGCCCAACATGGCCCCGTACTCATTTCCAAAAAGCCGGCTTTTCAGGCACGAATAGATGCACCCAGTCTATAGTGTGTCCTCTCCTACTCTGGCCTGGCGGGCCTGCTTTAAGCTGCCTTCGCGTCCGGCAGCGCCGGCAGCGGCTCGTCGCCTTGCCGCGGCACCTGCCCTACATGGCCCTGTTTCCCAACTCCAAAAGCCGGCTTTTTAGGCACGAAAGGATGCACCAGTCTATAGTGTGTCCTCTCCCTACGCTGACCTGCGGGGGCTTTTTTTTAACCGCCTTCGCGACCGGTAGCGGCTCGTCGCCCTGCCGCAGGCACCTGCCCAACATGGCCCCGTACTCATTTCCAAAAGCCGGCTTTTCAGGCACTAATAGATGCCCCCGTCTTATGTGTGTCGCTCTCTTACGCTGGCCTGGCGGGGCCTGCTTTGAACGCCTTCGCGACCGGCAGCGGCTCGTCGCCCTGCCGCGGCACCTGCCCAACATGGCCCCGTACTCTTTCCAAAAGCCGGCTTTTCAGGCACGAATAGATGCCCCTCGTCTATAGTGTGTCCTCTCTCTACGCTGGCCTGGCGGGGCCTGCTTTGAACCGCCTTTCGCGACCGGCAGCGGCTCGTCGCCCTGCCGCGGCACCTGCCCAACATGGCCCCGTACTCATTTTCCAAAAAGCGGCTTTTTCAGGCAGGAATAGATGCCCCCCGTCTATAGGTGTGTCCTCTCTCGTACGCTGCCTGGCGGGGCCTGCTTTAAAACGGCCTTCGCGACGGCAGCGGCTTGTCTCCCCTGCCGCGGCACCCTTCCGCCCAACATGGCCCGTACTCATTTCCAAAAGCCGGCTTTTCAGGCACGAATAGAGCACCCAGTCTATAGGTGTCCTCTCCCTACGCTGCCTGGCGGGGCCTGCTTTAAGCTGCTTCGCGTCCGGCAGCGCCGGCAGCGGCTTCGTCGCCTTGTCGCGGCACCTGCCCACATGGCCCTGTTCTCAACTCCAGAAGGCCGGCTTTTTAGGCACGAAAGGATTGCACCCCGGTCTATAGTGTGTCCTCTCCCTACGCCTGACCTGGCGGGGGCTTTTTCTTTAACCGCCCTTCGCGACCGGCAGCGGCTCGTCGCCCTGCCGCGGCACCTGCCCAACATGGCCCCGTACTCATTTCCAAAAAGCCGGCTTTTCAGGCACGAATAGATGCACCCCGTCTTAGTGTGTTCCTCTCCCTACGCTGGCCTGGCGGGGCCTTCTTTTAAAAACCGCCTTCCGCGTCCGCAGCGTCTCGTCGCCCTGCCGCGGCACTTGCCCAACATGGCCCCGTACTTCATTTCCAAAAAGCCGGCTTTTCAGGCACATATATGCCCCCCGTCTATAGTGGTGTCCTCTCTCTACGCTGGCCTGGCGGGGCCTGCTTTAAGCTGCCTTTTCGCGTCCGGCAGCGCCGGGCAGCGGCTCGTCGCCTTGCCGCGGCACCCTGCCCCACTGGCCCTGTTCTCAAACTCCAAAAGCCGGCTTTTCAGCACGAAAGGATGCACCCCGTCTATAGTGTGTCCTCTCCCTACGCTGACTTGGCGGGGCCTGTTTTAAGCTGCCTTCGCGTCCGGCAGCGCCGGCAGCGGCTCGTCGCCTTGCCGCGGCACCTGCCCCACATGGCTTTGTTTCTCAACTCCAAAAGCCGGCTTTTTAGGCACGAAAGATGCACCCCGTCTATAGGTGTGTCCTCTCCCTACGCTGAAATTCGCGGGCCTTCTTTAAACCGCCTTCGCGTCCGGCAGCGCCGGCAGCGTCTCGTCGCTCTGCCGCGGCACTTGCCCCACATGGCCCCGTACTCAACTCCAAAAGCCGGCTTTTTAGCACGAAAGGATGCACCCCGTCTATAGTGTGTCCTCTCTCCCTACGCTGACCTGGGGGGCCTGCTTTAGCCGCCTTCGCGTCCGCAGCGCCGGCAGCGGCTCGTCGCCCTGCCGCAACACTGTCCCAACATGGCCCCGTACTCATTTCCAAAAGCCGGCTTTTCAGGCACGGATAGATGCCCCCGTCTATTAGTGTGTCCTCTCTCTACGCTGGCCTGGCGGGCCTGCTTTAAGCCGCTTTCGCGCGACCGGCAGCGGCTCGTCGCCTTGCCGCGTGGCACTCGGCCCCACATGGCCCTGTTCTCACTCCAAAAGCCGGCTTTTTTTAGGCACGAAAAGATGCACCCGTCTATAGTGTGTCCTCTCCCTACGCTGACCTGGCGGGCCTTCTTTAAACCGCCTTCGCGTCCGGCAGCGCCGGCAGCGGCTCGTCGCCCTACGCGGCACCTGCCCCACCATGGCCCCGTACTCATTTCCAAAAGGCCGGCTTTTCAGGCACGAATAGATGCCACCCCGTCTATAGTGTTTCCTCTTCTCTACCGCTGGCCTGGCGGGCCTGCTTTAAGGCCGCTTCGCGTCCGGCAGCGCCGCAGCGGCTCGTCGCCCTGCCGCGCACCTGCCACACATGGCCCCGTACTCCATTTCAAAAGCCGGCTTTTCAGGCACGAATAGATGCCCCCCGTCTATAGTGTGTCCTCTCTCTACGCTGGCCTGGCCGGGCCTGCTTTAAGCCGCCTTCGCGACCGGCAGCGGCTCGTCGCCCTGCCGCGGTACCTTCCCCACATGGCCTTATACTCAACTCCAAAAGCCGGCTTTTCAGGCACGAATAAATGCACCCCGTCTATAGTGTGTCCTCTCTCTACGCTGGGCTGGCGGGGCCTGCTTTAAGCCGCCTTCGCGACCGGCAGCGGCTCGTCGCCCTGCCGCGGTACCTGCCCCACATGGCCCCATACTCAACTCCAAAAGCCGGCTTTTCAGGCACGAATAGATGCACCCCGTCTATAGTGTGTCCTCTCTCTACGCTGGCCTGGCGGGTCCTGCTGTATCTTGCCCTGCTTTAACCCACCCTGCTCCTTGACACCATCCTGCACCCCTGCACGGTCTTGCCTGACCCCGATACTACCCGCCATACCGCCAGGTTGTGCTGGATGTCGATATTTCAATTTTTTAAATATTTGTTTATGGAAACACTTTCTATATCTAAAAAGCAATGTTACAGGGGACTGAATATTTTTACTTTAATTATATACGTATATAACTGATATTTTCAATTCTGAGGAATAACTTCAATACATATTTTAAAGTTATCTGGATAGAAATATGTGCACAAAGTTGTCAAAAGACATTTTTTAGTTATTAATTTCATTATTTTGAGTCAGATGCTTAAGTCTCCCTCTCTAGTTGGAAAAGGACGTAATATGTTCATTCGTATCGTACACACAGCAATCTATTGCACCCTTTATTTCATTAGAAGTGAAATAAGCTAGTTATTGTAATGTTCTACGGCGTTATC